AAGACCACGGCTAAGTTTCAAAAACTTTAAACAAAGGTAACGATAAATATCTAAAATCGATACAAAATTTTTCTATTGACTGAGGATGGGCATCTATTTAGATTTGGGTTATCATCCCAAATGAGGTAGAAATCCCGATTTCCAAACCTAAGCTATGTAGTAATGTCAATTCAAAAAAAGGTTTGGTCGCAACCCTACATTTCAAGATTAGTTCCAGCAAATCAACTTCGATGAGCCAACAGAAATTCAATGGCAGAATTGACATCGCCCCCAGTAGCGAGTAAAGCACGGATATTTGCGGCTTGATCAACGAATCCCATTTCTTCAAGTGCCTGGAGTTGCGTTCTGAAACGTGTTTCGGGAGGTTCAGACGGTTGGGTAGATCCTGGTGTTGCGCTGTAAAATTCACATTAATAAAATTTTAAAGTATTAAAAAATTTACATATACTATAGTTACCCAAGCGTTGGCGTGAAGAATGGATTAGGCGATCCAAATAAAGACGGATAATATGATTGGGGCATTTGTTGACGCGATGTTACAAGTTGTGGGGATGTCATATAACGTTGCATAAGTTGCTGAAAACGTCTAATAAGTTCCGGATCATTAGCCATCGAAATATTCTGTGCATTTGTTGGGAGCATAAAGTTTGACGCTGGCACATTTGAGGATGGCGTCGCTGAGTTAGATAAACCAGTTGTTGATGAACTAGTCATTGAAGCTCCTGTACTTGGTGTCCCCGTAGTTGATGATTGAGTTTGTGCTTGTGTAGTCGATGTATTTCGGGAAACGGTTGATGACGGTGGGAAAGACTATATAAATGCATAGTAGACAGATTATAGATATTAATTATTTCTCAAAGTTTCCTAGTAGGAAAAGCAAATTCATTTATACCAGTTGAGTAGGTGGAAAACCCATGATGCTGTAAGGAGGTATTCCCGAAAGTGCTAGACATAAATATATACATCAATTTGAATATTAATATAAAAAAGATAAAATGAATAAAGCTTTGAAGCTTGATAATTACATCCAAAAGGATTACTAGCATTCGCTATAGTGGCACTATTACGTGGTGTCCATGGATTTGGTAATGGTACATTATTTATTCGCCCCTCTGTTGGATAAGGTTACTTTTATTTAAAATTGGAATATATACATATACGCACATATACATATATATATATATATATATATATACAAAATATACCTGGTGGTCTTTCAACATTTAACAATTGAGCAAGGCGTTGATTTGCTGCCTCTGATGATTGATCATTCTTTATCAGGCACAAGGTTTGATTTAGGTTTGTTTCATAAATAGTCATCCGACGTTAAAAAAAAACACAAAATAATAATAACATACATGTCGGCCTGCGGACTCAAGCGGTTCCTGTAATGTATGGTACATTCGCCGTAAATGGTTAAAGCCACCTGGTATAGTTTCAAGATTCGCCAATGCTCGGTCTAATGGATAAAACTATTAACTTTTCAATTTTTCATAATCGTGAGTAAAACTAAATGAATAGAACTTTAATACTTACCATTATTACGCATCATCTCTCTCATTAATTCAGGATTACGTGCCATATCCATTGTCTATAAACAACAATTTTATAAGACTAGAAACATACACGGACGAAGCAAGAAAAATATTAACTACAAGAACCTGGCGGATAAAGGATGGATCATTCTAATAAAATGGACAAATTTTGGTGTTATGAGAAAGTTATAATCAATGCGAAGTGAATATAAGATTTAATTAAACATACAATTATGTGACCAATTTCGGGGTTTCGCTCAATCATTTGTCGCATTGTTGGATTTTGCATCACCATAGACCTCACGATTTCTGGATTAGAGAGCAATTGCTATCAATATAACATATCCCAAGAAAAGTTAATAGTTTCAATTCTGCTCAATGGAATAAACAAACACTATACAGATATTATATAAATACCCTAATTACGGGCGAATTCATCATATTTCTCATATCTTGTTCGAAACTGGTTCCAAAATGGTTAATTCCGAAAGAATTTGTCGCCGTTCCATTAACGTTTCTTTGGGTTGGTGTTGTAGTCGGTGTCACATTTGCTGCTTGCTCAGCTGCACGGTTAGCTGCTCCCCGAACAACATGTATTGTATGACCTTCTTTTACACCTATGAAGTGAATGCACACAAAGGAAATAAGATAAAATGCGAAGCTACTTGTTGTAAATAAGTTGTCACTCTAGCCAAAGTTTCTAGATCAATAATCACATTGATAACACCCAGATCGCAAGAACGATAGTCGTTCACATGCAGAACCAGTCGTTGACCATAGTTCTTGATCTTTGACCTTGAGACGTCGAGGCGTTTACCTCCTACTCACCGTATAGGTCTACCATATCCTCATCCTTCAACACCCTTCCGGAGTAAACAAGACGCATATTATCTGCAGGTATAGAGATGTGCGTAACAAGCTTCTCTTTTAGTTGTTGAACAGTCAACTGTCCAGGATCAAAGCACATATCGAAAGCATCGCCATTAGAAGAGCGAAATTTGACACTGATTGATCGTTCACTTAAAGTGTCTTCCATCGTAAAGCTCCAGTAAAAGACCGATAGAAAAGATTAGGCTTGGACAGGGGGGGTGAGTGAACTATTGCAGATAAGACGGTCCGATGTGAGGCTCAACTGAAAGTTAGCAAAAGTGCTATTTTGCTTACGTATATTAATTTTGTACGTACGTACGTACGTACGTACGTTTGATATCACAAAGATCACACTTATTGTGATATAAATTGACCACAATTATTATAGTTTTTCCGAATATATTCAACAGTTTTCTCCAACACTAAGATACTAAACTAAAACCATTGCGATATTTAAGATGGCGGATACGCTTTTTCTCAAAATGCTAAAAAACGGCTTAAGCAACTGACGTTTGGAGTATTAGTAGTACAGTACTTAATAAAAATGTTTGGCACCTCTAGTTCTAAAGCTTCTCAAAAAAAGATATCCTCAATTGGTTTTTTTTTGAAAATATATACTATAGCTCAACAAAAAAATTATTAATAAAAAAACACATTTTGACAATGTAAAATTATTTATTGGTTTTCTAATATGGCCGGGTCAAATTTTAAAAAAAAAAAATTTTTTTATATGTTTTTAATTAATAGCGAAAATCGGTTCATTATCACGTGATAAAGAAATGCGAAATTCAATGAACTAGATACGTACAGCGAAATCAATAACATTATGTTTTTGGAGCAAAGATACCTTAGTAACCACTTATCTAAAATCGGATTCATATAGTTAAATAGAAAAATTTTGTATCGATTTTAGATATTTATCGTTACCTTTGTTTAAAGTTTTTGAAACTTAGCCGTGGTCTT